AGTTTAGTTTTTATATTTCTTTACTAGTATTCACAAGACAGTACATCGACCTTTTAAAGGCTACATAATATTTATATTGCAAGATCAATGAAAAACAAAACAAAACAGCACATCAAAATCAAATCCCTTCACACACTGATTTCAATAAAGATGTTCAGTACAATGTGTTCCTGTTAAAATAAAACAAACAAACAAACAAACACCTATGCAGACATGGATGTGGCTACTGAGCTCCTTAGACTTCAGCTAACTAATCCCTGACCCAACTGCTTATATGTTATGCTTGACATCAAACTAATCACAAAAAACTTTGTACATAAGATATGTCATTCATGCATCCCCCCCAAAAATGGAAATTCTCCGTAACTAAAAGTAAAAATTAAAAATAAAATACAACAGATGCAAATATTTAGTAACGTAATGTGCCACAGCTAAGACAAAACGCAACACGATGGTGAACAGAATAAACATTTTAGCCATAAAAACTGCGAAATGAAATGATGGATCTGATGAACAGGCAGTCAGTTTTGGTCCTTGTGCAGATGACAGCGAAACTATAAACCCGCCTGAGTGATGCAAAGATCTTAAATACGACAGGGATCATTTCACACGCTTTGCCCACTTTCATCCTCTCAGAGCACGCCACATCTTAAAAATCTATTAAGACAAAAGTGATAACAGTTGCAAGTCCCAAAGTTAACGCAGTTTAGGTCCTGCGGCGTAATCCTTAGTGACGCCTACTTTTGAATTTTCCCTCTGCAGAAAAGATCCCAGAAGTCCTGATTGTTCTGAAACCTGCAGGGAAATGAAAAGCTATCATTAATAGTTCAGTCAGGAACATTATAGTAAAAATAGGATTGTTGTTCAATCATTTATATTAGGCAGTATGGCTCTGTTCTGGGACCTCCCTGCAGGTATAAACAAAGACATGGAAAGCACCTGGTGAAAGAGAGAGAGCAGCAACAACAAACCAGAACAGTTCGAGCATCAGTGACAACAGACATGACATTTATTCAGACAGAAATGGCACGAATAGCACTAAATGTAGGAGGTAGGTTTGCAAAGCGGCTTGCAGAGGCAACAGTAACTGTTTACTGGTAGAAGCAGCCTGCCAGAACTAGCATGCTCAAGGCTACAGAACACAGCATGTTTAACTACAAATACCCTAAACCTACTGTACCCTGAGTGGAAAGTTACATTTGAAGAGTCCTAATGCATGAATTAAAGTTAAAACCTTTTGTATTTTCATTTGTGGAGTAAAACTGTACTGTGGAACATGACTGTGGAACAGTTTTCCAGTGGACTCACAGCAACCTAAAGCAAACATCATTCAGTAAAAAAAAAGTAAAACATGCTTTTTAGTAAGTGTTACTACTAAATATTAGTATTTAGTAAGATTAGTAAGTATGTACGAGCTTTATTCTACTGCATTTCAGACTTAATGTCAGACTATTTTGCTTGTGCACACATGTATATATATATATATATATATATATATATATACATATATAAACGCACAATGTCCAAAATAAAAGGTTATCATCAAAATAATATAATTTAAACTAATATTTATAAGCTGCTTGTAACAGGCAGGGGTTCGAAAAACTGCTTTACATCCACAAGCAAACTGAAGGATCCACTGGAGGAAGATGCTGGACCTTGAACTTATTGACTGCATTTGCATTTGCAGCTGACTTGCACCCAGTGCATGCATCATCATCCATCATCTATGTGAGTGAGTGCATGATAGATTGATATTACCACCAGCATTTTTTTCACATATAAAAACTGTATTGATATAAGGCGTCGGTCTACCAGATCAGTTTTTAAATTGTCTGCTGCGCTCATCTGGAAGGAAACTTATCCAGGTCATGAAGTACAAAGCAAAGTGAACCGCAAACCTATCTCAGCGCAGAATTTTCAAGGTCCTGTATGTTATACCTATGGATGCACTTAGGAATACACCAATCTCAACCCATCCAAATGTACCAGGAGGATACATATAATCAATAAAGTTACCTCAAATCTTCAAATGATTATCTTCATATTCAAGCATTAATTCAGCATGCTGACCTGAAAGGCAGCCGTAGCTTCAGTAGAGCCCGATCTCCGTCAGGTTGATCTTGATGATGACATCAGTTACTGCGTCGAACACAAACTCCACATTCTTGGTGTCTGTCGCACATGTACGGTGTGTGTAGATATCCTTGATGTCCTTTCGTTTATTCAAGTCTTCGAACTGGCACTGGATATAATCTGCTGCCTCTTTGTATGTGCTCCCACCTACAGTGAAAGACAATAAATTGTTTAAGAAACATCCCGTTAACGATCTCTGGATCACCTAATTATACCTGCTTTTCTTTGTAGAGAACATCATACACAGACTGTCTGATTAGGAACAGTCTAGTTCAATTATGCACTTATTTAAAAGAGTATAGTATATCCAAAGCTTATTTAAGACAACCCACAGCTTAAAACTTCCATAAAGTAATGTTTGTCTCACCAGTGTACTCGGGGTAGCAGATAGTGAGGGGACTTCTGGTGATCTTCTCTTCAAACAAGTCTTTCTTATT